GGAGGGAGGGGGAAAATGGGAGCTGATATCAGGGGCTCAAGTGGGAAGAGAATACTTTGAAAATGATGATGGTGGCATATGAGCAAATGTGCTTGACACACTGGATGAATGTATGGGTTGTGATAAGAGATAAGAGCCCCCAATAAAAGAATTTTTAAAAAAGAAAAAGAACTAGTCAAAGCTTAAGCTGAAATTACAAAATAATATGTGGCCACAATAAAAGAGGAACAGGTCAAGTTTGGGTGAGAATCTCAATCATTCCCCATCATGTTTTATTTTTGTCATATGAAGCTGTAACATTGTACTGTGAATCCATTAAAAAAAAAGTCTCTTGCTGCTGAGCCAGTTCTGACTGGCAACAACTCCACAGGTGTCCAAGCAGAATTGCGCCTTCACACACTACATTCCTCTGCCTCCTAGAGGCTTCCTCACCCCCCACTATCATGACCCCAGTGCTGCTGCCTTTCACTGTGGGCTAGACCCAAGCATGTGCACAGGTACTGATGAGGGATGAGCGCTCACAACACACAGAATCCGGGAACAAGAAGATACCAGGAGAGTAGGGGGATGTGGGAAGAAGAGGCGAGGAAGAATCTATCAAGATGATTAGCATGTAACCACCCCGCCCCCAGGGGGTGAGGGACGAACAATAGAAACCATGGGGGAAGGAAGACAGCAGTATACAATATGAAAATAATAATTTATAATTTATCAAGGGGTCACGAAGGTGGGGGGGGGTGTGTGGAGCTGATACTAAGGGCTCCATAGAAAGAACAATGGTTCTTAATCTGTGGGTTGCTACCCCTTTGAGCATCGAACGACCCTTTCACAGGGGTCACCTGATTCATAACAGTAGTAAAATGACAGTGATGAATAGCAACGAAAGTAATTTTGTGGTTGGGGGGGTCACCACCACGTAAGGATCTGTATTCAAGGGTCAAGGCATGAGGAAGGTTGAGAACCACTGGTTTAGAAAATAATGATGGCAACCGATGTATAACTATGCTTGAAACAATTGACGTATGATTGTGATAAGAGCTGTCAGAGCCCCCAATAAGATGATCTTTTAATTAGAAAACAAGAATGCTAAATGTAGAAGAGAAAAGATGTCAGAAGTTTTCAATATATGCTCACCTAGATGTGTGTGTCGCGCTATCTCGTACATATCATTTCTTTTTTCGTTGAGATAGTGCATTTTTAAAAAATGAAATGAGATCAGCATTGACAGAGAAAAAAAATGAAGTGAGAACTGCAGCTCATAATGCCCAGTGCCCGCTTTTCTAGACGTCAGCCACCAAAGCTTCCTTCCGAGGCGCCTCTGGGTACTCCCAGACCAAGTGTGAGTAGCCAAGTGGGCTTTCCATGTAGGCCACGGGAGACTCCACATGAACCCGTGGCAATACAAAATTATGCCTTTTTTCCCCCCAACGGTTTTTTTGGGGGCATCTAATTCACATTTCATACAACTCAGTCGTTCTATCACCTCAAGAAAAGAGTTGTACAATCATCACTACAAATGACTGTTCTTGACAAAGTGCGAATCATTCTCTTTCTCGCTCAGCTCTGGCTGCAGACAAAGACGGAACCCCTGTGTTCAAGTTCCCCAGATGGAGAGTCAAGGGCAAGACCATACAGGAGGTGGCGGAGGCCTACAGGTCTGTGGGCGCCGAGCTCAACGTGCTCCCCTTCTGCTCCCAGTTCATCCCCATGGAGGTCATTGACGGCCCGAAGCACGGCTCCATCATCTATCACCCGTCCGTCCTGCCCAGGCACCGAGGGGCCTCTGCTATCAACTGGTGAGAGTTCCTGAACGGCGGAGAGGATGGGTCCGGTCTCGTTGCTCATCATCTTTCTGGCTTTTACCGAGATGATTAAGAAAAGAGACAGGCTTGAACAGTGGTGAGGTCCTGGTTGCTAGTGTCATACGAACTCTCCTCAAGTTCAGAGGTACTTCCTGAGCCAGGATAGCACTTTCCAAGAATAGTCCGTGACGCGCCAGTTCCACGAGATATTGAGCAAACCAACATTGTACGTGCTGGCAGGTTTGGTTTGTGAAAGGCTTCTTTGCTGCAGGCCTCTCAGGCTCTTTGGATGTGTCCTCCGTTCTCCTACGCGGTGGTTCGAGTACACAGTTTCCCAAACTTCACTGACCACTCTTTGTGCACAGAGCATCTCAAATACACTTCAGTTGGAGAAATGCAGTTACCTGAAATGACCTTCTCCATGGTCTCTCTTCCCCTGTTTAACGTGAAGCTCCTGGAGAGAAGGGGGCTGTGTTCCACATTCTCATTGCTTTATTCCCCAACACCACAAGCAGTGCCTGAGCCGCTGTGTTGTTGCTAGGTGCCATTGGGTCGGTTCCGACTCATTGAGGCCCTCTGTACAACAGAACATTGCACGATCCTGTACCCGCTCACAGTGCCACCATCTTTGCTTCTGGGGAACATTCTGGGTGCACTTCTTCACAGACAGATTCGTTTGTCCTTCTGGCGACCCGTGGGCACATTCAGTATTCTTTGCCAGCCCTGGCATTCAAATGCATCGATTCCCCTTCGATCTGCTTTACTCAGTGTCCAACTTTCACATGCCCACGAAGGGATTGAAAACACCGCTGTAGCTGCCCAGTCTTACTGGGACACGATAGGCCTCCTGGCCACATTGCTCTCAGTGCCACGCTGTTGACTAGGCAGAACATCCATATGGTTCAAATGGGATTTGTAAAAAGATGGCATTATATTGAGACTTTTATTATATGAGTTGATTTCCTTTTTGCTCTTGTGACTAATACTGCCATGAATATCTATGCATTTAAATCTATATGTTTCCCACCTCCCATCGTTCTCACAGGTGGAATCAGAGTAAATTGTCTCAGAGTAAATTGTTTCGAGGCTCCTGATGACACAATGCCAATTAGTTTCTCAGTATTTCTGAGAAGAGTTCATTCATTCATTCATCCCTTCCTGTCTTACTAAGAGGTCGCTCAGTGACATAACAGTCATGTAGATTTGGTGTGTTGACTTCCAGTTTATTCTTTCTGTGTGGTAGCCTGTGTTAATGCACTTCTTATGTTCAGCTCCTTGTTTCGTATTAGAAGCTTTTGTGCAGCTGGTCTTTTCTCTTCAGCTAAGCTTAATCGGGCACACGATAAAATAGTAAAATTAATTAGCTATCTTAAACCGTGCAGTATAGCCCACCTGGAGCGAATTCTGGGGGTAACTAGCTCATACCTGAATGCATTGTCGGACCCCATCAAGTGGGCTCGGGCCCCGAGAGCCCTGTGCACAGCAGAAGGAAACCCCGCCGGTCCTGTGCCATCCTCCCCACGGTGGTGATGTTTGACCCCCTTGGGGCAGCCACTGCATCTCATCGAGGGCTGCCCTTGTTTTTGCTGACCCTCTATTTGCCCAGCCCGGTGCCCTTCTCCAGAGACTAGCCTCTCCAAAGCTGAGGAGATAAAGCCTCGCCATGCTTGCCTCTTCCAAGGCAAATCTGCTCTTCTGCCACAAAGGCACTTTGGGTCGCCTTGTTCAACACCGAAGTGCAAAAGCCTCCGTACTTGGGTCGCCTTTCTTACTTAGTCCAGCTTGCACACGCATGTGAGGTGATTCGAACCACCATGGCTTGCGTCAGGAACACTAGTCCTTCAGGTGGTGATTCATTGTCTGTATTACACTGCCCATATTAATAATCCCGTCTCGTCACCTGGCACCAACGATCCTCCGCTGGGTGTTACCTTCCATTATCGAATTGTGCCTGGTGCCAGGCGAAACACAGGGTGGGAACTGGACCCCACTGGACTAGATCACTTGATCCTGCAGGGGAGGGCTGGCATCTGGGCATCCAGGAGCGGCAGCCAGTCACGATGGTGCACATGGTGCTTCTATGTGCTAGCCGGGGAAATGCACTTATGCACGTGTACCAGGGGAGTCCCACTAGGTACTACTTGTTATGAGCGCTAGGGCTCCGCTTCTCCTTCTCCCGGCCCCACGTTAATGTCACACAGCGACTTCGTTCACGTTCTGCTTCACCTGGTAGCCCCCAGGTATTTGAATATCACCAACTCATCTCTCGGTTCACCGTCATTTTAAATGGATTTTTTTTCTCTTCTCAGGACCCTAATCATGGGCGATAAGCAAGCTGGGTTTTCTATTTTCTGGGCCGATGACGGTTTAGACACAGGGCCCATCCTTCTTCAGCGGTCATGTGATGTGGAGCCCAATGACACCGTGGACACCCTTTATAACCGGTTTCTCTTCCCCGAGGGAATCAAGGCCATGGTCAGTATCCTGACACCCGTCAAGAATGTAGCGAACCTTACACGTTTCATAAATATGTCTCATCTGTGGAGAAGTTGCCCATACGCATTTTCACTGAAAATATCAAGCTGAAAGACAACATTAGGCTTCATTTCTACCTGCAGGACGATCCCATATTTAGAGTAGAAATCAGGACTTTCCAAAATGTCTTCCTCTGAGGGCAATGAAGTGGGAATGAAGCAGCTCCCGGTTTTTGTTCCATGTATGTCCAGCCCTATCAATAATGGCCAGTGGTAGACCACTTGTCGGTCAGTTTGTCGTACCGTAGCAGCTTATGTGTTGCTGCGATGCTGAGAGCTATGTCCCGGTTGTATCAAACACCAGCAGAGTCACCCATAGCGAACAGGTTTCAGCAGAGCCTCCAGACTAAGGACAGACTGCAAGAAGGAACAGGCTGTCCACTTCAGAGGGAGTAGCCTCTGAAACCGTCAGGATAGCTTCAAAACTGTAAACAACTACACATCATCTTCAGAAATTTTGCAAGATACACATTATGTAAAAAGAGGCGATTTAAAAAAATTCATTTGTACATTTAAAGCTTTCTTTATATTTCCTTTTCTGTGTTTACCACACTATATAAAAATAACCTGGATGCTCAGGGCTTCCTGTCGGGATCTGATTTATATGAACAAAGTCAGACTTAAAAACATTAGTGATAGCATAGCTGAAATCATTGTTTCCTATTTTCATTTTACCACAGGGTGAATTTGTGATTCAGATTCCTTCCCTTTTTGTAGAGAACTGAAAAAAAAAATTACTCTTGTGAAACAGAAAAAGGAAAGGAATTTTGCTAGAGCCGTGTCATTCCAATGTCTGTGAAAAGCCTACTGTTGCTTACTGTATTCAGGTGTGCCCTGGGTGAAAAGCCCCAAGTGTGTTCTCCACCAAGTAAAAATACTAACCCTAAAAAGTATCAAAAGAGTCAGCAGATGGTTTTGTCCCCGTTGGGTGTTTCTGAGAATGTGATGAAAGTGGAAGCTGCAACCCAGAGGTGGACAGTACGATTAATCAAAAGTAGCAGGTGTTTATTTAGGAACCAGGAGAACATCATCTGAGTCCTCCAGAACACAGGGCCTGATTTAAAATCCTCATTTTGCCATCCATCTGTCTGGGGAAAATAGATACTAGATCATAATAACACGGGCGGTGGTTTAGAGAAACGAGGCCAACAACACTCATTTATGGATAAGAAAGAACTTCATATCAAGAAGTAATTCTATATCAAGAAGGCAGCCCAGCCAGTCAACTCAAGTCCGTGGGTCCCACGCTAGTTGGCTCCTCAGACCCATGTGGCTGCAGGTGATGACAGAAAGGTGAAGCGAGACACAGGGAGGTCACAGGCTGGTGGATGCCTAGTCACGCAGATTTACATTTGGTGGGCTACAGCTCCTAGGGTCGATGGCCAACCCACTTGGGGCCATCCCTGGAGGCAGACCCTGAGTCCCAGCAAGGAAGAAAGCAAAGGGACCAGGAGTATGGGTGTGTGTGGGGTGTCCCCAAAGTCTCTCTTATTAAAAGGCCACACCTCCCAGGAGGCATCCTCAGGCTTGATTGACAGGTTGGACTCCCCCCACCCTATCCTGCCCCACAACCACAAGCTGACATACATGTACTACACCCTTAGCCTTGGTGTCTTCGTGGACAACACTGCCTAGTGTGTGGAGTGGTGGTGAAAATCAAATGGCATGAATGGGGCACAGCACAGAAGGAGCAACGGGCATTACAACAAGAATTAAACCATGCAGGCCAGCCTGGGGTTGGTAGAAGGCTGTGTTCCCAGGTGGCTCCCTCTCTGTGCTCACAGTAGGCTGGTCACCACATGGCACTGGAAAGGGCAGCGTGGATTCAGCTGACACTGACCTCGCCGTGACGAAGGGGAGGGTGGGTCCGCTCAAGGCAGACGCCGGTACGGCCCAGAAGAGAATGAAGGCCACCCACCCAAGGCAATCAATCTCCTGGATGGATTTTAACTTGGGTGCTTTGTTTTTTGGGTGTTTTTTTTTAATCCCAGGTGCCCTGAGCTAAACAGGTTGACTTAATAGAATACCATCATTTTCCAGAATCATCATCGTGAGCAATAAGAACCCCCAGTGATTCCTTTTACGTCTATATTCTAGACATTTCCCTGGAAGCACCAAAAGAAGGGTGAAGTTCATGTCAACAGGGGAGTCATTTACAGAAGACAGCAGGCAGGCTATTGGAGGCAGACGGGCTTGAAGTCAAATCCTGCCTCAGGCGCCTTACAAAGGTCTCTGCATTCTGAGCTAGCTGCTTCACTTCGCTAGGCCCCGGTGGCCTGGTCTGTAAAGTAAGAATAATCACATGCATCTTGCAAACCGGTGTGACGTTTGCAAGGGATCATCTTTTGCAGAGAAAGGACCTGGCACATAGATGCGCCTTAAGAAATGGTAGTTCCCAGCGTGCTCTGACTCTTTGAACAGATTCACAAAGCATCATATCATTCTGTCAAGCAGAACTTCAGGTAAACAGACCAAGCCATGACTGATTGTTGGACTGTAACACAGGTGACGTTTCTGGTTTTAGGTAGAAGCGGTCCAACTCATAGCTGACGGCAAAGCGCCTCGGGTCCCCCAGCCCAAAGAAGGGGCAACGTACGAAGGTATCCAGAAAAAGGAAAACGCTGAGGTATTTCTTTCAACTCACCCACCTCAAACCCCATCGCTTTCTCACGCGCAGCCATCGAGTCAGGGATGACCCAAAGTGACATTTCTGAGACTGTAATTGTTTACCTAGTCTTGTCTGTCTCCCGGGGAGCTGCGGCTGGTTTTGAACTGCCAACCATGCAGATCACAGCCCAAACACATGAACACTACACCACCAGCGTTCCCTGGATCATTTCCACTCTGAGGGCAGATCTCCAAGCCAGGCCCCTTCGACTCACCCTTGGGGTGGGGGTGGGGGAGATGTTTCTTTTGTCTTTTCCACTCAACCTCGGCAGTTCTCTCAGCCTGTGCCTTGCGCGTTTCCAGATTTTGTGGGATCAGCCCGCCGAAGTTTTACATAACTGGATCCGAGGTCACGATAAGGTCCCTGGAGCCTGGGCAGAGATCAACGGACAGGTGTGTTTTAACGACATACGTAGGTGTGCTGGTTTCCCAGTGAACATCATAAAAGTCAAGGCTCTCCTGGAGCCTTCCTGGGTGATGAGGAGGGTCTGGCGTCCTAGGAAAACGATCAGCGGTGAGCAATGAAGAGGAGAAAGAAGCTCACACTTAACTGCTGTTGACCACTGACTGGGAGGCAGACCCTGGCCACAGCCTCTGTTCCTCAGGAGCCCCCGCTTTAGAATTGAATCCACGCTCCGCAGGCAGGCGGATAAAGGCGATGGTTGCTTCCTCTAAGCGCTAATTTCAGTGCTTGCACACTGGGATGAGTCAGCCAGGTGGAGAGGGAGACACAAAGGTGCAGGAGATGATGTACTGCAGAAGGCCCAGAGGTGGGAGCGTGTCAGGCCCGGGCCAGACTCAGGGAAGCCGGATCCTCAGGACTGAGGTGGGGTGGGAAGAGAGTCGAAGCGGGGGTGCTGGGCAGGAGTGAGAGCATGTTTGGGTTCAGCTTAGCTTCTCAGGGTTTACCTCTTCCAGAAAGTCTCCTGGCCTCCTCACCAGTCTAGTCTGATAAGAGTTGAGTGTCCCTCTTCCCTGTTCCAACCACGCCCTGCCTTGCCCCCGAGGGAGCTTACTGAATATGGTGTACTGTGCAGGTCTCTGGGTATGTGCCTGTCCCCCAGCCCCAACCCCTTCCTCCGCCTCCAGCACAATGGCTTCACGGGATTGTCTTCATAAACTCAGCGCCCAACCACGGTTCCTGGTGCGCATTGGGTTCCAATCACAATGGGTGAGCACAAGGAAGGTCCGAGACAGGATGGGTAGCCTGGTGGTTAAGCGCCTGGGCTTGGAAGACCGAGTGCTACTCTGACGATTCGGGCTCTGCCACCATTTTCTGTACAGCCTTGGGCAGGAGCCTCAACCATGGGGTGCTTTGCTTTCTTCGAATGATAAAAAAGAAGACGAACTGCCAAAGTCATTGCCATCGAGTCAATTCTTGAGAGCTTGCTTAACGGTTCTCGTCGGAGGGCCCCGCTACAGGCCTCCTTCTTTCAGGGAAGGTCGTCCTGAACAGGGGCTCAGGAGGGACACACTGGGAGCAGAGTGGGAGGAAGGGGACATCTACTCCGCCATGACAGAGCAGAGGAAGCAACGCTGGCAATCGTGGGCGACAGGGCTCGCAGCCAGATTGGGCTGCCCTCCATCCATCAAGT